ACTTCGCTACAGTAATTAAAGTGGGGATAAACTATTGAATTATAAATAGAAACTAAAGTATCCTGATCAACATAGTCCCGAATTCTTTTCATGGCCCCTATTCCACAGCTTACTTTAACAGCAACATTGTCTATGTGCTGGTCCCAATTTAAATATTCATCTATTTCGTGGTTACCTTGGCTCAAACCCTGTACATTATTTATGTACATCTAGAGTAAGATGCTTTTTGAGTTTTATTCATTTTATTCCTTTTTATTTTCTGATTGAGACAGGTTTCAATAAGCTTGAAGCAATGGAAATTGTGTAATTTTCTGTTGTGTTTGTAGTACCATAAGGAAACCATAGCAAATGTTCGCCGAGCAGCTCTCATTGAATGGCCTCATGCTGTTGGCATTGCTCTGGACACCAAGGGACCAGAAATTAGGACTGGACTTCTAAAAGGGGTAGGTTTTGTGTGGTACCTACCTCCTAAAGGTAGATGGGGATTGAAGTGTCCTAGGCAGATGGGGAGGATATCATTTAGTTTCTTAAAATATTCATACCTACACCATGGAGGGGGATTGGAATTTTCAAGGGGTGGGGAGGGTCTGAGGAGGGTATATTGTGCAGTACCAGAAAATATACATACCTCCCCCATGGAGGGGGATTGGAATTTCCAAGGGGTGGAGAGGGCCTTAGAAGGGTATATTGTGCAGTACCAGAAAATATCCATACCTCCCCCATGGAGAGGGATTGGAATTTCCAAGGGGTGGGGAGGGTCTGAGGAGGGTATATCGTCTAGGTTCTTAATATATTCATACCTCCACCATGGAGGGGGACTGGAATTTCCAAGGGGTGGGGAGGGTCTGAGGAGGGTATATCGTCTAGGTTCTTAATATATCCATACCTCCCCCATGGAGGGGGATTGGAATTTCCAAGGGGTGGGGAGGGCCTGAGGAGTGTCTATATATATCGATGGAAGGGGCCTTCTAAAGTACCCATTGTACCAAGTACTCRTTGCGACCCAGAGCTTATTTTGGTTATTGCTCCTTCAGGGTGGATCTGCTGAGGTTTCTCTGAAAAAGGGTCAGAAGCTGAAGTTATCAACCAACAAGGATATGTTTGACAAGGGAGACAGTGAGACTATCTTTGTGGACTACCCAAATATAACCAAGGTTGTGCCGGTTGGAGGGATTGTGTTTATTGATGATGGGCTGATTTCACTTAAGGTACAGTAAGGCTATGACAGCATGATAGTGATGTACAAACCTCTATTGATCGATAAAGATTCATGTAAGTGATGTATATGGTTGCTCTAATTCGACCAAAGGTTTGTGAATTATAGAGGCTTTGCACCGTCGCGTGACGTCAGCCATGCTAGATTGCAGGAACAATACAATCGTTTTACATAAGAAAAAATTCAATTTCAAAAATCGAAGGGATTTTATTGTTCTGCCATCTAACCACAGGCAGTCCAAGCTGGATTATGGTACCAGCACCTGTTGACACAAAACCTCTATTCCTGAGTGCTTTAAGCCGTTCAATTAGGTATAACAATAAATATACATGATAAAACATTCCTACTCACTTGAATTTAACACTACATAAATAGACCTATAGACCCCTTGCATGTGACGTCAAAGCAGCTCAATCAGKGAGACAAAACAAAAGAATTTCAATCTTATGAGAATTGGAACCTATAGTTTTGTCCCCAAGATTGAGCTGCATTCCAAAGTGATTCAAGGGGTCTATTGATGGATTGCAAGCATTCCCAAGAGAGTCAAAAGGCAAAAACATGGCGGCCATTGTGGTACTGTTAGCAATGAATGCCAATGACAAATCTTTTGTTAAATGGCACCAACACTCCCCTGAGAGACAGCGATGATGTAACATCCAATTGTAGAATAGAGCGTTTTCACTCACGTGAGAAGGCAGCCATAAACAATAAAAACTTTCTGCAGAGTATTTGCATAAAAATGGAGTTCAAATCCCAGAGGATAGAAAATGTATTGTTTTGATACCCCATAATGGACGCTGTGATGTCCTGTGAAAATGCTCTATTAATTAATTAATTAATTAATTAATTAATTTGCTTACTAACTGATCTTGTTATACAGGTGACTGGCAAGGAAGCAGACTTTCTGATGACTGAGGTCCAGAATGATAGCAGTCTTGGTAGTAAGAAAGGTGTCAATCTTCCCAACTGTGAGGTTGATTTACCTGCCGTTTCCGAACAGGATAAGAAGGATATTGCCTTTGCCCTGGAAGAAGACGTAAGTACCAACATTATTGTTGAGTTTTTCCAATAAATTTCCATTGACATACTCGGATATCAAATTCATTCCTGTATAAAAATTAAAGCAATTAGTCCAAATCTACCAATGGTCTATCGCAAATTCTGCATTCTGATTGGCTGATTCTATTATAGATAGACCACTAATAGTAAAAAATGCTGGCTTCCAACATTAAAATAATAGCCATTTATTCACCTTTTCAATCTTATTTCAAAATGACTGATGACAGATAATGATAATAATAATCATTAATGATGATGGTGATGGTGTTGATAGTCTATATTTTAATATCTTGTAAAATGGAAATGGCTCTATATAAGAATAAAGTTATTATCATCATTTTAGTAAAAATACGCAGGTGATTATAGAAAATCTCACGCGCTGATTGGTCAAGAAACTCACACCATCACACGATAATCACCTCGAGCGAAAATCCAAAATGGTGGCCAGCCGCTTTGTTGCTGTTACCGGGAAAATGCCTTTTATCTTCTTTTTTTTCTTCTTTTGAAAGAATCACCTGTGTATTTGTACTAAAACAATTATTTGCCTCAGGCTCAGTGATTATTGGGGAATATTTATGTCTCGGTAAATATTCCCTGATAATCACTTCGCCTTTGGTGTGTAATTGTTAAATAGTGAAAGTGATGATGATGATGTTAATGATGAAGACCATAGCATTGATAATGATGGTGGTGTTGGTCTTGATGACAATGATAGTGTGGATGGTAAAAATGATGGTGATGATCATGATGGTGAGCAGCGATGATGATGATGATTATTATTTTTATAATTATAGCTGGATATGATCTTTGCATCATTCATCCGCAAACCAAGTGACATTGAAGAAATCCGCAAACTTCTTGGAGACAAAGCAAATATCATCAAGATAGTCGCTAAGATTGAGAACCATGAAGGTGTCAGGCGATTCGATGACATTGTCAATGTTGCAGATGGCATCATGGTTGCCCGTGGTGACCTTGGCATTGAGATTCCTGCAGAGAAAGTCTTCTTGGCTCAGAAAATGATGATCAGTCGCTGTAATAGAGTGGGAAAACCTGTTATCTGTGCCACACAGGTGAGACAAAGGCTGTAGACCTCCTTTCAGTCTGGCTTAATGTTTTCCCATTTCAGACCATGTGTCATTCCCTTGAGTATTATTTCTTTCTTTACTAGGAATGCTTTTCAGCTATGGTGCAATGTTTTCCCATTTCAGACCATGTGTCATTCCCTTGAGTATTATTTCTTTCTTTACTAGGAATGCTTCTCAGCTATGGTGCAATGTTTTCCCATTTCAGACCATGTGTCATTCCCTTGAGTATTATTTCTTTCTTTACTAGGAATGCTTCTCAGCTATGGTACAATGTGTTCTCATTTCAGACCATGTGTCATTCCCTTGAGAATAAGATTATTTGTTTGAATTGTATCCATATTCATGTGTCTTCTCATGGGCAAACATTAAACAGAGAAATAATACTCTAGGGAATGACACATGGCCTGAAATGGGAAAACATTAGGCCTGAGCACGTCAGTGGAGGAGGTCTATTCTCCACTCATCACACAAAATATGTGACAGCAAGCGAGCGATTACTCATTTACTTGCTGATTAATCTCAACTTCCGCAACTGTATAGCCAACATTTATTAAGCAGGAAGCCCATAAATATATATCTAAATCCCAGTTTTCTGTTTCGACTAGATGTTGGAGAGTATGGTCGTAAATCCACGACCAACACGTGCAGAAGCGTCTGATGTAGCTAATGCAATTCTGGATGGTGCTGACTGTGTGATGCTGTCAGGTACGGACGTAGTGTGACGTATTTCCGGTTTGTGATTTTGGGTGACGTATTTCCGGTTTCTTGGGGTTTGCCTTGGACAACATCAAAAGAAGAATGGCACAGTTTTATCATTTCCGTTTGTCATTTCAATCATCATCATCACCATCATCACCTTAATCATCATCAGTAGCGTAGCGAGGGGGGGGGGGGCACGGGGGGCACGTGCCCCCCCAAATTTTTAAACAACTTTTTCAAAAAAAACAAAAAAACAAAAACAAAACATATTAAACCAAAACGAAAGAGGAAAATAGATTATTGCAACCTAGGAAAGTGCG